TTTAAATTGTTAAATCTTTTCTTTCTCCAAAATGAAACAAGTCAATAAAGTGATTTATATTACTCTGTAGGTCAAATCTTGAACTTTGAGCTTTCTCCCCAAACTTCTGTTTTTTTTAATAGTATAATTAAACAACTTTACATTCCTACTCCTATCATCAACCCTATAAATCTCACTTTGACATACCTGGATAAACTTTTTGATATGGTTGTTAGTATGTGTATGTATACACACACACTTTGTGGGTTTTTTATTAGTTCCTATAAATATTTTCATTATCTGGTATCCTCGTATTTATTTGCTTATTGTCTATATCCCATTACTAGAATTTAACCCCTCAGAGCAGGGACCTTGAGTGTGCTGCTCATCACTATATCTCCAAAGCCTACAGTAGTGCCTGGTCCATGATAGACACTCAACAAATAATTATTTTCTAAAATGACACAGTGTATTTGTAACTGTAAAAGTTATACAACATTCTACCATACTTACATGCTAACGTTGTGCTTAATTAACCATTCATCAAAAGTCAGGCATGTGAATATTCTTACTTTTGGCTTGCTTATTGTCAAGAAGGGGAATGATTTAAGGATTAGCTTGAGAAGAGACTAGCTATTAAATAAATAATATGGAAAACAGAATCGAACAAATAAATTAGTAATTTCATTTAAAGTACCATTTCCATCGCTTCTCTCCCTAAACTTTTTGTTACAGTCACCAACAAGCAGGACAACTGATGGACGTAAGGGTTTTGTGTGTGTGTGAAAGAAATGCTGATGCTCAGGTAATAGAAAAAGACATGGGGTGGTAAAAATCTGCAGGATTTTTTTTTTTTTTTTAGTCAGAAGACCAGGTTTAACACTTGGTTACTCATCAGAGATCACTTCTTGGGCAAGTTGTGTAACCTTGCTGAGGGGTCTGTTTCTCATCTGTAAAATGGGTATACCATCACCTACTATGCAGGATTGTTATGAAGATTAAATAAGAAGGAGTACTGTAACCATAAAACCTGGCTTCTATTGGGAGGAAGAAGAATTGAGGGTAAATGCTTAAATTGGATTACCAACTCTTAGATCATTAATACTTGATACCAGTTCTTCAGGGAAAGCATATATTACTATATGTAGGCTGAGACCTTAAATTCAGGGATGACAAAGTCTCATACAAATATGTGCACACACATCTGCAACATGTCTATTAATTGTAAATTTTAGTGACACAGCCTTTACCTATTTAACGGTGAGTGTCATGCCGTGCCAAATACACTATCAATAACTGACTTTTTCATTGAGGTTATTAAAGGACAGTTTATGTATGTTAACCTCAACTCTCAATGAGGTACTATATCCACCAGATCTATTAATTCAAGGTGGGAATCTCCATTAAAACACTAAAAATAAAATAGTGAAAGTCAGATTACTCAAAAAATAAGTATTGTTTTCAGTTGTGTTTTTATTTTATTTTTTTATTTTTTATAAAAAAGATGACCGGTAAGGGGACCTTAACCCTTGACTTGTCAGTACCAAGCTCACCCAAGTGAGCTAACCAGCTATCCCTATATAGGGATCTGAACCTGTGGCCTTGGTGTTATCAGCACCACGCTCTCCCAATTGAGCCATGGGCCAGCCCTGCAGTTGTGTTTTTAAAGCATGAGGTTTTTAAGGACCTTTTGTTCTCAACTTGTAAAATCAAGTCATGTGCAGATGTTGGCTCTGATTAAAAATGGAAAAAAATATATAAGCAGTTTTCAAGAATTCAAGAAATTCATCCAAACTAGCACCAAAACTAAGCTAGAAAAATATTCTCTGAAAGCCCAAATTCTGACAGCCACTTGCCATTAGCACTTACCTCATCATACATGAACTGCAGAGTCAGGGCAGACTTGCCCACACCACCACTGCCCACCATGATGACTTTGTGTAAGGCCAAGGAATTCTGACCCTTGGGCTTATTCGCAGCCATCTTGTGTCGTAGAGTTTCACCAAAGGATTAAGAGGAGTCTAAGATAAATGAAATGACAAGTAACGCTCAGTACATTCTTCTGCAGAATTCCAGTGTAGGAAAGAGATATGGTACCCTTAAGGTTCAAGATTATAGTTTTCGTTCTGTGGTGATCTTAAACAGATGGCAAATGAAGTCTGCTCACTTAGTGGAATAAAACAAGCA